TGCTTAATTCGCCGGAACTATTTTTAATTTTTATCAGGAACTCCGGAACTCTTTGGGGTGCATTCAGAACTGTATCGAAAAATTGATTTTTTAAAAAATGGGGTGCTAACTTCACAGAGGTAATATTTTCTGATTCTGATATAATTAAACTATTTTAGTTTTTTATCTCTTTACTTCTAAATAGATAATAATTTAATTTAATTAAAATGTTTCTCGTTTAGCATATATTTAAAAAATATGCTACCAATATATATTCAATTTATTTATATTATTTAAGAATTACCTTTTATTAATTTAATTATCATTTGTTGTTCTTGCTGTTATGTTTTGAACACTTCTAAAAGTTTCATGCTTGAAAGCTTTGAAGTATGAAATATGTAGTTAATGCATCATGCTCGGTTCTGTACATTCTATTGATATGAAATATCCTAGTTTTCACTGCACATGCGCATCTATGGAACTATAAGAAAAATAAGGTACATTAACGTATACCACATAACTATAAATTACGATAATTGAGTTGTTATTATAATATAGTATAATAGGCATATTGTTCTTTCATAGAACATATATGAATTTTTTTTATTCCGAATAATAATTTATTGAACCTTTCTTCTTGCGGATGTAAACATATTACATACATCTAAATCTCAATTATGTCATTTATATTTAGTATTCATATGACAACAAAATGCTGCAAAACGTTAAGAAGTTGATAATACGGTAATGCTGAAAGAATTTAAGTGATAGGAGGGTAAGGCAGATGAAACTTCTATAGACTACAGGTTCTCAGTAACGCTTCGACTGTTACTTGAGATGGAGTTCCCTGAAGAGAAGTACTATAGATTAAACCACATTCTTTTATCATCGATTGGACTCTGGCCATACGATAATTTTGTCATCAAACAAATTCAAGTCATACTATCACTACTAATATACATATCGTTTTTAACAGCTCAGGTATCTGCATTGCTTTTTTAATATATAATTATAGACTTAAGTTTGTTCTTTATACATGTCCAATACTGCATTGTTCGTATCTCCTTAATGATTATTCAATTCATTTAATATAAATACACAAAATTAACATTTTAAAATAGGTAGTAATTTAATTTGGACTTTTTGGATTTTTAATCTGTTCTTAAGTGTAAAATTAAATTCCTGCTTCTTCATATTTTTTCATTTTTTGTAATTATTTTAATCTTCAATTTTTTAGTATTAATATAGGCAAATTCTACATGCAAAACATATCGAATTAATGCGTCATATTATAGAAAAATTTTGAAAGTACAACACAAATAGGGAAGAGTTGTGCAATACCGACCACTCTAAGTTTAATGTATATTAGACTAGTTTCACATTCAGTGAAAATTAAATTTTAAAAATGTTATTTGTAGTATAAATAGAACTTGATAAAATGAGAGAAATTATTTAAAAATTGCTTATGAGAATTGGTAATTGGTACAAATGAAATAGTTTTTAAAATAATTTATTGATGTGAAATTATCCTCCACTACCAATCAGCTATTTAACAGATTTCATGTCCAAATGATTAATAATATTAGAAAAAGAATTTTAAATGTTAAACTGGAAGGATTATATTCAAAATTTACGTTTATAAATATCATAAATGAAATAGTTATTTTCTTCATTTTGACATATTTGACACGTGTCCAATCTTCACATTGTATCCAATCTTCATCAAATGATTCTCTGTAAACGATTACTCAGTGACTTCTTCATCAAAGTCTAATTTCCTCTTTGTTGAATGTAACAACATTTGCTTGATGTAAAAGCTCTGCTATCTACACGTACGACATTCGAGTTGCCAGACTAGTAGATTACACGAAGAAATAACTGTGAGTTCACAGAATTCAGACTTCGACACCTATTCGATGCGAATAATCATTATGAAAATTTGTGCGTATGTGTGTGTGCGCGTGCGCAGTGGTATTGATACAATAGTAAACATCATCAATACATCATTATACACTACTATATAAATATTGCACACATACATATGCACAAATCGTCAGTAAAACGATGCCACAGAGTCTTCAGTTTACGATCCTCTTAATTAAAAGGAAGAAAAGGACAAAGAATTCAGTTAGGTCGTCGGTACTGCACGATAGACTCGTGGAGTATTATATGTGTATAATTTAAAAAAAAAATTGTAAAACTATGTATTTACATCTAATAGACTAAATATTGTGTACGTAATGCAACAAAATCATTTAATTACCTGAGAAACGAGAGGTGAGCTCTGGAAAACTTTTTATGCACTTAAGGTACATATAAACAAAAAAGATCTCAGAACATCGGTTACATTGAAGTAACAAGTATGGCCGCGGATTATGTTATACAAAACTACAGTATTTATCCGCTTATGTACATAAAATACGGTATTTTAACGGTGGAAATTAGAACTAACTTTGCTCGATTTGCACGACTCTGCCCTATACGCGTGAAATTTTAAATGTTGTCAAAATACTCCACATACAACGCTATGTAGAACAAATCCCTTTTCGTTTTCAGTTGCGTACATACGTGTGTTATATATTATACTCAATATATATAATGTATAATCAAAAAGTATGTACATTCAAATATAACTCTTTATAACTATAATTATAAAATACTTTTTGGCTATACATTTGATATGTTGAATATACCATATAACACACGTTATGTATATGCAGTTGTTTGCATAAACATATCGCTCACATTATCTTACTATTTATGTGTCAAGGTAATTATAATCTGCATATATGTTAAAATTAATACCGATAAAAAATCTTTTAATTTTTTTTAAATTTTCAGTTACAGTTACTGCAAATTACTAAACTATAACGGAATTTTCAGAGACGTATGACTAAAGCTTTATGCAGTTACTGCTTCTGAAATTTTTATTCCCGTTTAGTAAATTTCAGAAACGGTAACTGCATAAAGCTTTAGTCACACGTATCTGAAAATTTCCATAAAAATTTCTAACAGTGTATAATTTTATCATATTTTTATAACACTGTCTATTATCTGTTCCTCATACTGCTAATCATATGATATCTGATTAGGTCTATATCCAATATACATAAATTACGTACATTTTTGTTGTTTAATAAATTAAAAAAAGCTATTATATAAAATTTAAATAAAAATTTTTTAATATAAATTATACGGTATTGCAAATTGCACTTGGCATTTTAAACGCAGCTTGTTACATAAGAATGTCGATCTGCTTATGAAGAATAAAATATGCATATTTGACAAAAAATTATTTTAAAAGACACATTATAAATACACGCGCGCACGCACACGCACACACACATATAAACAGCGACTTAAAATATACTCTAAATATGATTACGCATATATGTACTTATTTACTAAATAGTTCAATCTCTATTATCGTGAATATAATAGATATATACTTCTTAAGAAAGATTTAATTTAACTTTAAAATTACCTGAATCGTTATAGCACAGCTTTTATAGCGTGACAACACGGTTTTTCTTTATGATTGACTACATGTGTTCAATCAAATTCATCAAATGACTAATAAACGAGTCTAAACATTGAATGTCATTTGTATCTTTTTTAATATGTAAGAAATTGCGATATTTGGAATTATTTTCAATAATGCAGTTTAGATAATCTACAAAATAAAAACGTAACACATAATACAAGTTTAGAGTATATTTCAAACGCATATTTTGTGTGTGCATGAGCTTTTTTAAAATAATTTTTTTTTCAGATACGCAGAAACTGCTAGTAATTTTATAATTATAAAGTATTAATCACACATCAGTGAAAATTGCTTACAGTTTATGAAACTATTCGTTCCGGAATGCAGTCTTGATCTTTTTCTGGAAGTATTTGCTATAAATTTCCAAGTTTTAATATGGCTTATTAAATATATTACTGTTTTTTTTGTTATGGGAAATGTAAGTCCAACAATAATTAATTCTAAAATTAATTGCTACTTAGCATATATTATTAGTAGTACAATAATATTTATCGTATGTATTAATAGATAAAACAATTACGGAAATGTATTCGGAATAACTGGAGTATTCTGGTAGACAATCGAGAAATTGACATAATGCACAAGTATGCTAACATTGGAAGGCGATCTACGATAGGTATAGGAAGTAAGTGTCGAATTTTTAATTGTTTTATCTGAATCCAATTGGAATTATTTGAGATAATTACTGAAGTATTGAGCAAAACGCAAGTTAAAAATAACATAATAAATTTCCGTTAATACGTAAATTTTAATATAAGTAAGCTAGCATAATCTTTTTTGGAACCGAAATAATAAAAAAATTTTTAATTTCGTTAAATCTTGCTTATTTGATTTTAAAATTACGCCGCAATTATATTTTTTATCAAAAAAATTTTTTAACTATTGATATATATTACCAATAATTAAATTAATTAATTATAAACTGGTATAAAATTTAATAATTTAAAATTTATATAAAATTCAATTTTTAAATTTAAATATAGTATTGCGTATTGTGCTTGGCGTTTTTGCGCGCTCAATAAACACACCAATAAAAATATTGTTTTGCTTGTAGTATAAAATCTACATATATATTATTTTTGAAAAGAAGAATTTTTATAATTTCGTTAAACTTTACATAACAAATAATTTAAATGTTTACACATAAGATAACAATTATTATCTCTGATTGAGTAAATTAATAATATCTTGAAAATTTTAGTATGCGTCTATTTTGGATGTTTTTCCTTCATTGTAATGCAATTTGTTCCGGATTTGCTTGATATCGTAAAGCCTTTAAATAAGTCTCGTCCACGTATACTTCTTCATGAGGCCAAATATTTAACTAATCAGGAGAAATATTTTCATATTGTAATAATGCAGGAAGTTATTGGGATATTTATTACTGGGACTACTGGAGTAGCTGCTGAAACATTCTCATTAGTAAATGCATTACACGCTTTCGCATTGTTTAAAATTGCTAGGTACGTCATAAGTGAGAACGATTCTTAAAAAGTTTTTCATTGCTTTTGTTTATTTCTATCTGTTTTAAGCTAAAAATTCAATAGTCGTATTTTCTGTTTGATTAAGAAATATTTCTAGGAAATGAATCAGATTTTCTTATTCGATTGATATGCATTTTTAGATTTTTTTATTTATATTACTCACTTAATATACAGTCGGATCTCGATACCGTTTATTCTCTTCTCTTTATTATTTATTGCTTCTATCTTCGCATCTATTATTAGTATACATAATTAACAGCCTTTGTTATACAATAAAATATTTTATTATATATACATATATATTATATGTATATATCATTAGTATATATAATTAATAGTCTTTATTATACAATAAAATATTTTATTATATGTCTTCTACTCTTGCGTTGCTTTCTTTTTCACTTTATACATAATCACATATAATCAGGTAAATATGAAATAGTGAGAAAATAGGGCAAGAAGAAAAGTTATAAATAAAAGGAAAGTGGGAAATAATATGGAAGTCTGAATGTGTGTGTTTTATTTTTATATTCTTGTTGTTAATCTATATTACTGGTCATAAAAATTATAGAAAAAACATGTTATATTGAAACAAAATTTGTAGGACGGAAAATATAAAAGAATATATAAAAATGAGCTATATTAATAAAAATATCAAGCAGTAGATATTTTTAAATGAATATACTGCATGTATCGTAAATAATCTGCTATATAAATATTTATATCATATAAATTATTTTGTATTATCATGTCTTTCTTGATATTGCAATTTTTATGGCCAGCAGTGTATACAGGGTGTTCAGTAATTTTTGTGACAACGCTCATGTGCGAGAAATTGAATCATGTAATAATAATCTGCGAATCCGCACGATTCAACGACTAAGGAATAGTTGACCAGACAACCACCATTTATGAGATTCAGAGAACGCACTATCAGCGCTATTATGTCATTCTATCGTTATTTTACGTTTAATAAACGATAAAGATAGAATGACACAATAGCGCTGATAGCGTGCTTCCCGAATGCAGCTACACATACAGTCTAGGTAAGCCCACCGATTTTTAGGCGACCATGAAAATTGGGAGAAGCGCTTAGTAAACAACAATGTGCTGCTTGTGCATAACCATATTGTTTCTTATAGAGCGTCCCTCTTATTGCCATGCCGCTCGCCTAGAAATACAATGAGTCATCTCTTGTCGCTAAATCACGCAGAAATCTTTATAAATTAATTTCTCGTTAACTATTGTGTAATCGCAAAATGATACAAGACTTTTCTGTTTAATTGTGTCAACGAATTATTAGACACCCTGTATAATAAAATAATGTATAATCCAAAAACAATATAGTTTTACAATAGTAATAATTATCGGTATGTTATATTACATTATCTCTTTCATGACATATAGAATTTTATAGTTACCGTATGGAACATATGCTAAGAGTAGATGTTTCACAATTATCTCCAGCCAAAAACTATATTATACTCCATGATAAAATAACCGCTGCAGTAAATATCCATAGAAGAGCGCTTGAGTCAGTATGCTACTAATCCTAAAAATATCTTATATGAATAGAATATTGACAAGAGAACTTACAAATTCACTATTGTAACTTTCTGTAATTTAATGATAACAAATAATAACGAAAAATTTTTGTTCTATTAGATTTTCAGAGTTATTAAAAACAAGCTTTGGATTCTCATATTTGTTTATGGTCGTGACGGCTATATTTACGGCAACCATTAGTCTCTTTCGCGTGTGTACACTACACTGATTACATATGATTATTTATTAGCTTTATAAGATTATTTGTAATTATTATATTGAAATCATCGATTTTATTTACAGCTATTTCGAATAATAATGATGCAACAGAATAAGATAGAGATTTTAAAATTAATTTGTTATGTAATTTTCCTTTTTTTATTATTAGTTATTGGCAATTTTGTTGGGCAAGAGTTTATAAATCATGATTCTTATGTCCATCGAGCGATGTATGTATACAATTAATATACTTTCTTTAAACATTATATATAAATTGTATCATAAACACTGTATCATAAAATTAAAACTTAAAGATGCAAGATATAATTTTTATGTTTAGAAACTAATTAATTTTTTTTCTTATAATATAGATGCAATACGAAATGGTACAATGCTCCGTTAAAGATACAAAAATTTATACTCTTTTTGATGAGGAAAACTACGAAAAGTTACAAAGTTGATGCTGGTGGTCTGTTTAGCCCTTCTTTAGAAGGTTTGGCCACGGTGAGAAATCGTGTAATTATATCAAGAAAGTAATTATATCAATTATCTCTGTAAATAATTTCTTTTGTTTTAGGCCTTCAGTTTAATACTTTCTTTTCTCACGATCTTATGTTCCGTATAATGGTACTTCAATTATAAAATACATCCATCAATCTTATAATTTTGTGGAGACACATAATAATGTTACACAAATTTCATAAAATCATATTAATTGTAACTAAATATTTTTATTAAACCATTTGATTAAAGATCTTGCTTTAAAAAGTATAACCCTTGTTATTTTTTTGACATTATATAGACGTTAGATCCCCTGACAACCGTATAACAACGTTCACAAATAAATAGAACGGACTAAATTGAATAAAAAAGTCCTGTATCATTTTGCGATTTTTGCAATACTTAAAGAGATATTAGTTTATAAATGTCTTCTAATCAGCAGGCGTTCACACACATTTGGGAATTAGATATCAAAAACAGTCCAGCGCTCAAAATTGCTTGACAAGCGGTGTAGCAATGGAAGGGATACTTTATAGAAATAATTATTAATGATCGGCACATTTTTGTTTACAAAGCTCTCCTTCCAATGCGTCACGCACTTAGTAACCGTAAATGCTGGGCTGTCTCTTATCGTCGTATCGCGCGGACGCATGCTGATTTGTATAAATTTTTATTAACATTTCATTAACTATTGCAATCGAAATCGTAAAATATATACATCACTTTTTTGTCAAAAAGTATATATATATATATATATATATATATATATATATATGTATATATACGTACCAATATCAACTTAAAAATTTGAATATTTAATCATTTATAATAGAAAAAGGTAAGCAAGCTAAAAGATTGAATAAATAAAACGAATTTGAGCGACAATGTATTTTTTCGAAAAAAATTCTGTTGAAATCGTATGCCATGATGATAACTTTACTTCCGGTGTTCCTCGGTCTTCCTTCTGTTCAACTTTGATCGAATGGAAAATTATTGGCGTTTGTTATGCAGAAAGTGACTATTCATTCAACTTTACTATTCAGCAGAATTAAAGTAATGTCTACGATCACTCGAACGGAACTGAAGAACGATCGTTAGCGGAAAATGATGAAAGCGCCTGCGTCAACTTTGGAGAAAGAAATTTTTTTCCTTTCAATATTATCATCTTATTTTGCACAATTTGCGGAACAATTTCTATCTCGCCGTTGGTATTTTCGCAGCAATTACAGGAATATTATCCGGAATATAAAATGTATCGATTGACTCATTATACCTTTCTACCCTTTTCTCTCGCTGCGATAGATAAACTTTCGCATTTATTATTAATAATAATTTTGCGTAATAATCAAAGGAGAAGAGAGATACAAATTTAAGAGCAGAAAGCGGGAACCTTTAATAAAATATGATAGAAATTTTTCTCTGCGACTTTCGGCGCAAATGTACTTCAACTTTCACTTCGAAAAGATGGAATCTATCGAACACCCCTACAGAATACAACAAGTTCTGTTAATCATACTTGGCTTATGGCCGTATAATGATACATTGTACCGACGTGTTCAAAGAATATTTTTCATCATATTGATTTCATTTTCCATATTTCTGCAGGTATTCTTACTCTTCTTTTTCAATTTTAATTTTAGTAATAACTAATATTATGTTCAAATAGCTTGAATATAAAGCTTTACAAAAAAATTTTGCACTTGTGCAAATAGACAATCTTTTTAAATAACCGACGTTCATATGGAATTGTATAAAATATAACTTTAAAAACTCAAGTTTTTTTTCTTTAATTCTATATATTGCATAAATTATAATAATGCGTCATTAAAAACACATATAATAATTAACACACATACATATGTATATAATAAAATTATCTAAATGATTAAGAACTTTGTCGATGAAAATATATTATTACAGATAGGAAAGATTGTAACAAGCACATCTAATTTAGAAAACTTTCTTCAAGTTTTATCATTTGCTGTACCTTGTCTAGTGGTCACTTTAAAATATGCCACTTTCTGTATAAAATCTGAAGATGTAAGTTTATTACATTATATTTGTTCTAAACACTGTAAATACTTTCATAATGAATATTTTCAAGATATTCTATATAAAAAATAGTTGAAATTTTTATTTTTATATACATATGACTATTTATATGGATATATAATTATTTAAATATTTCCATATTTGTTTCTCTTATCTTGTTTAAAAAATAAAAATATATACAGGGTGTCCCGTAACGCTTAATTAATATTTCAAGGCGTGAAAGAGAATGAAATTTTGAACTAAAAGTTCCTCTTTCAATTTTGGCTCAGACCATTATTTACAGAGTTATTAACGAGATCGGAAGAGCACACGTCTGAACTCCAGTCACTTA